CCTCTCCCTGAAGTAAAGGCACTGGTGATTTCCATCGTATCCAAACAAAACCACAGGAAGTATTCAGACAAGGACAGAGGTATTTGGGCTTGAACATAACATGGACCTGAAGATAATTGGTGACCACAGCTGAGGACTTCAGCTGGTTCTGGTTCAAGAAGACAACAGCAGTAATGCCCCAAACAGATCCTGATAGTCCCTGAAGACCTCCACAATAGATTAAGGTTCACTCCTAAGATTTGATCCAATTAAGAAGCTAACCAAAAATCTCTTTTCATACCCATGGCACTAAATAGAAGTGCCTGCTGAGCACAAAAGTTTGGTTTTGTGAAAGCAGAGCTGCTGTACAAGATAACCGTTTCCATATACCATCCTCAGTTACACTCTGATAGCCACGCAGCAACGTAGCTATCCTTGCCATTTCTTACCATGAAGAATCTGCATTGTGCTAAAAAGCCCTCCAGAATAAAGCAGATAATATCTTTTGGAATGGCGCCTCATATTTTCCAAGAGTTGTCTCGCTGCAGCAGCTATTACAAGAAACTAAACCAAACCCTCTATTTGTAAATTAGCAAGAAAAAGCACAATTCAAACTGGTATTTGGTTTAGGACTGAATGGTTCACACAGTGCTTAAGAAGCATTTTAGACCAAAGTAAGCTTTCCGCCAGACGTTTGAGGGGGAAGAGAACATTTCTACTTTGCTGTCTGCATGCAGTTATAAACCAGGATGACAAAATAGCCTGGTGTTGCTGCACACAGTGAAATAAGCTGTGCATCTTGTTCTTCACAAGCACAGCTCAATTTGTCTCCATCCTGCCCGCTTCAGATTCTACAGATTTACCCTGAAGACAAATTCTTGTCTCCGAAACCCTTGGCATTTAAGGTGGCAAAGTCAATGAGGGGAGATGGGCAGGGAGTGTTTTTGCATTAATTTCTATACAGCAGAATCATGAAATAGCTGGACTAAATACAGACATTGCTGCTGTGCAGGACAGATACATATCTAAAGCTGAAGTCTGACAAGTGAAGCAGAATTGATGGCGCTTCTTTAAGCATCTTTCCTCCTCTCCTCAACTGTCTCACTTGCTTCCATCAAAGCATAACAGGTCATTGCTGGCTTAACATCTAGTGATTGCAGAGGGTTTTTTTTCCACGCAACTGCTGCTAAGCACTGTGCTGAAGCAAGACAGACACATCTGATCTCACTCATGCAGGAGAAAAGAGCAGAGGTACTGCATCAAGGTATTCTGTAGTTGAAAAAAAAAAGAAAGGTATAATGTGCTTTACATCAGTTTTGTAGCAGATTATGTACCAAGCTCGTTTTCAGAAACAGGCTCCGATTGCTCCAGCCGAAGGTATTTAAAGATTTTTCTTTTGCAAGGCGTATAGAGATTGATAAGAGCACCACTTTCCCCATGCCAAAGAGCATCTGGAATTCAGAAAGGTAAGAAAAAGACATGTAAAGGCAGAAAGAAAAGAGGATAGAGAACACATCAGCTGAGCAGATTAGAAGGCTCAATAAAGATGCCTATTGTTACCAACAGAAATACTCTGCAGACCACAGGCTGAAAACCACCATCTTAAACTGAGCAATCCATGAAAAACAGCAGAGAGCAGCAAGATTAAATTCATCCATGCCCCCCTATCTCCACTGGAAGATTTATAAAGGCCTGCAGATCAAGAGAGTGTGAGAACTGCTGCTATATAACCCCAAATATCTTAATATTTTGTTACTGTTTCCTTCGTTACCTGGTTAGCTGAATCCTCTTTGCATCGTCTCTCGGTTTTCGTTATTAGCTGTGAACACCAGGATCTTTGGGCTGTGCCAAGCTCACAGCCCCAGGTGCCCAGTCTTCAAGTCCTGCTGCGCTGTGCCTTGAAGAAATAACCTGACCCTGCGCAGGGGCCAGCAGAGCAGTCACAGACCACGGCTTTCGGAGGCATCTTAATCACAACAGGGACCAAATCAGTATTGAACTACAAACTAAGCAGAAAAGTAATCCCTTAAGCTGCAACTTTCCTAAATGCTGGCAGCTAGAGACTGCCAACCGGTAACGACAGTTGGCAGCTCCAGTCTGAACTGGGTTTTTTTCTCATTTAACTCCCATTCTCCCCAGTTTAGGCTGGGCAGCAGCACAACGTCCCCACTGCTGTAAGATGTAGGATTTTGCACAAGACCTTGGAACTCCCTCATGAGCCATCTCTTCTTATTAAGGACAAATGTTGCTAGTGGGGAGTGTACTCCACCGAGGCAATCCTCCTCTGCCTGCCCCCATTCCATCAAACTGGCACCTTTTCTGTTCAAGTCTCCCACTTGTGGGAGTGGGAAGCTTGATTTGGGGCAAGCTCTGAGAGCCTTGCCCGTGTCAGTCAGTCCCTGGAGAGACGCTACAACCTCAGGGTGAGGTTTCAGCAAAAGAGTTCGGTCTGTGTTGTTTTAACAAGCAAAAAGATGCCTACTACTGCTGGAAAATCCCTGCTTTTCTCATCCCTTTCAGGCCAGCTCTGCAAATCTTTCCAGAGTAAGATTTCAAGTTCAACACGTTGTAGGCTGAAAACCTACACGTGAATAAACAACCCATTTTGTGACACGCCTTTATGCAAAACGTGAAGACTTATTTTAAAACAAGCCTGGCAACCTCTGAGTTTCTTTTATAAAGAATATTATGCTGTGACAATCTCCTTTAAGAACACAGTTCCCAGTACAGCACACAGGCATGTGCTGCAAAGCAGCAGAGTGGCATTCAAGAAGTCAGCTGGTAAACGAGCAAGGAAGCATGAGAAACCAAGGGAAAAAAAAGTGTCTACAAGAGCAGCTGTGCGATGGACTAGGAAACAAATCTACTTCCCAAGTCCCCTTTCTTTCACAGATGTGCCAAATGAATTGTCACTGCACAACAGTACAGAGCAATCTGACAAATCTATATAGGCAAGAAAAGGTACCAATTCCACAGGCATTTGCCTGATCTTATCCTGTGCCTAACAGGGTCTTCAGGACTTCAGTTTGATGGTGAAAGCTGAACTTCTATGCATACACCTGTGTGTATGTGAGCTTGCAAGGTATGTAACACCAATAAATACACACTTTATGCTGATAGATATGAGAAAATATCCCTTGTGACAGATAACTGTAAGGCAAACACTTGTATTGAGCCACAGAACAAAGTTTATTGGATCTTCTCAAATTCTTTGTACAGTTTAGCTGCTAAAAGAGACAATTGGCATATTGCCTTTAATCTTTATTTCAATCATAAGTCCAACTTGAAAGAATCAGTTACACATAATGGCATCTTCAATAAATAAAATGACAAAAAAACCTAGTCTTTGCACAGACACGTTACAATCCACTCCAAATTCAGTATTGCCAAAACATTTTTATCTAAAAACTTGCTCCAAAGGATTTTTTGCTTGTTTCAGCACTTAAATACACAGAAAAGTATATGATGAGAGAAAACAGATACTCTATTCTGAACAGAACTTGTAAAAACCAGTAACTTAGAAACAAAAGATAATTTAATCCCTCTAAATAGATTAAAGAGTCCTGATCGAAGTCTTTTTGGAAGAAACTTGATTCTAACCTCCATATCAAAACATGCAGTTCCACTGGATCCTATCCTATGTCAGCATACTTTAAAACGATTACATTCCATGATTTTTTTTCATTTTTTGTTTTTTTTTAAAGGGGAGGTTCATAAAACAAAAGTGTCAGCCTCCCCCACTCACAAAAGTAGTCATGGTCCATATATTCTGCAGTAGCAAACAGCTATTTGTGCTCAGTCCACTGTTTGAACTCTTACTGTGCTGGAAAAGATACTGCAGTTTAACCTCTACTTCTGTACTCATCTCTTCCCCAGTTCAGCAGCCTCAAGAATCTCAGTGAGACGAGAATTCATGCAAATACAAATCCACCTGCACAGATCAGATTGCAGGATGAGGACCAACACATCTGATTCTAATTAGAAGCCAGGCTTAATTCAAAGCTTTTTCTAAATAAAGTAATCAATAAAGAAAAAACAGATCCTCTAGATTTCCAAACTGCAATTCCCCGTGATTTGCATCATCTACCAGCATATCACAAACCAATTACAGTGTCAGTTAATAATGTAGGAAGAACCACTCCGTCGCTAAAATTCGTTAGAACGCTCATCTCTAAGCCTTCTGGGGCTTTGTTCAGTGAAAGCTTAGGGCACGCAAGGAATGCATGGCTGAGCCCCCACTGGCCTACGCATACTATGTAGGGGAGAGAAAAGGTTACTTTAAACAAAAGGCAGAATTACACCACATCTGTGCAAACATTTAAACCAGTTTGTTTCAACTCATTATCTGCTTATTGCAGCTATTGCTGCTGCCTGTACTTGGCCAATTCAGGAGAACATGGTAAAGCAGGACCCAATTTGTCTAAGGAAATGGAACTTTTTTCTGCAGGTATCTTCCCCTTGGCTGACCACATCATAACGAAAGTGCAATAATTTACAGTGTTTTTAAACAAACAGCTATTAAAATGACATAATTTTAGGGAAACAAATTCACTAGTTTAACCATAAAAATATTTCCCCAGGTAACAAACCTTAAAGCATTCCGTAACACAGTATTTCAATAACAACAACAATAATAATAATAACAACACAGAAAACCCCTTCCACTTGTTACAAAAGACAGAACTGTTAGCAGATTTTGCTTATTGTACACTTATTAAGAGTTTTCCCATCTTGTGAAGACCATGCTGTAATTAAGAATATAACTATCATTTAAAATAAATGAGTATGGAAATACTGACCTGACTTTGAAATTCTACTCTTAACCTTTCGCAAACAAGAACAAGACAAAGCCCAGGGTCATGACATCCAGGTACTCAAGGACTTACAAGACAGTTTACATCCAGAGTCATAAGAAAGCACCACTTTCCATAAAGTACTTTGTATGTCTATTGCTGAACAGCATATTAAATAGTTTAGTGAGAACTGCTGAAACAGATTCTCAGACCGACTGTAGCTTGACTTACAGGATTCAGGTTTGGGGATAACAAGGAACTTGGTGACATAATTATACTCTGAAAAAGTATCTGCTAAATTTGGTCCAAGCATCTTGAAAAGCAACCAAGAGGACACAGATCCCCCATTGCTTCTTGTTGCTGTTTAGTTTATCCTCAAAAAAAACCAAAATAGGTTTATGGCAATAAGGAATAAGAAGGATTGCCCATGACAGGCACAGAACTGTGACAGAATAAATAGTCTCTTCAGAGACACGTTTTATCTGTGGTTTTGCTATGTGAGTAACTGAGCTTGTACTAATGGAGAACCCTGAAATGTATATACTATAGCGACAAGAAATTACTTCCTATTTAAAAACCAGATCCGTTTGTAATTAATTGTTTTTCCAATCATCATTAGATATGTGAAAAAACAATTAAAAATATTTTAAAACAATTACAAAGAGTGGACTGCAGTAGCAGCTATTCAAGCAAGATTCAAGCACAAGTTTAAATGAACTTTCAAGCTGGGAATTAGCCTTCTTTGTCGAAAATTTGTACAACCTTTTCAAAAACCTGAAAAGAAAGAGAAGAATATTAACTTTATGACGTGTTAGTCAAACAGTTACTTTGAGTTAAACCAGCACGCACAATAATGGACAGTATTTTTTTAAATAAATAGGGTTTTTTTCTTCTAACATTTACAGTAATTCTTTAATAGTGAAATTGGCATCAATTCTGGGAAACTGAGACTGAAGAGCAATACTATTTCGGAAGAGA